CAATTTAAATAAAAATACTTTATTAAATTTGTCATGACTTCATGAATCTTATAATAATATCTTTATTTAAATGAAATTACTAGATTACAAGAAATAGGATTTCAAAATGATAGTTTCATTTTTGAAATTTCTGGTAATATATTGGAAGGGTATGTATAATCTCTCAGACAATGATAAATTTTTTTTCCTATTTCTTTTATACTTGGCAAGAGACCATTACACTATTATTGGATTATAATACATTTTTCTTAATTTGAGAGAACATGATGTTCAAAAAAAAATAAAACTTGATCTACAATAATCAATCATAAATCACCAGACACTTAATAATGATCATTATCAATACAAATTTGTTATCAACTTAAAACTCAATTATCCTGACAACTATTGTATCAATTTCAACAAATTTTGATTTATTTGTAAAATGAAAATAAATTGTTTCATTTTATTTATTAATATTTTATTGGATAGCCATTATTAGCTATGACTATTACAACTCAATGTAATATACTATCAACAAGATTTTTATATTTATTTTTATCAATTTACAGTCACTCATTCTGGAATATTTGTTATAATTCTTCACAATTTTTGGATAATGATTTATGCATTCAAACTCATCTTTCTAATTCATCTCATAAATATTCTATGAAATTCAAGTCAGGACTCTAGATAAATCATGAAATATTATTTATATTATTTTCTATTTTCCATTTTTTAGTTTTGCTTGCTGTATGAACAGGTATATTATCTTATTATCTAGTATATCTAGAAATGGTAACAAATAGTTTTCTAGCACATTTATGTACACATTAGCTATCACTCTCCCCTTTAATCTAACTAATGGACCAAGGCTATTTTTTATGAAATAATCTCACACATTACTCCTTTTTAACCCAATTTAAATGTTGAAATAAGACATCCAACATCATATTTTTCATGAGATTGTCTCTAAATATACTTCTTATCATCTTCTCTGAATAATTCAAATCTAGATTCATCACTTCAAATAATGATTTCCTATTCTTTTTCCTATATTTACCATTCCTGAACCCAGAAAAGTCTCTTTGTCAATTAACTTTATTCACAAGTGGTTTTCTGGTTCCAATCTGACCAAAGAAATCTTGTTCATGTAAGTAACATTGAATAGTAATCATACTTATATTAGTTAAGATAGAGGTAACAAAGTTTTCATATAGTTCTTGAAGATTTGTATATTAATTTTCTTTAAGAATTCTTTGTAAATGACAATTATCTCTTTCTGTTATTATATGTGGTCTGCCACTTTGGGGAGGGGATTTTTCACAAATAGAACTTTAGTAAATAGAAATAACATCCTATATAGTACTTTTTGACTGATTTAATGTTTCTGCAATTTTTCATACACTAATTCTACACTTCCAAGCACCAATAATTTCTCCATGCTCAAAAATGGAGAGCTCTTTTTGTTTGGTAATTTTATTCATTAATTTGAAACTTTTAGAAGATATAATTTAGCATGTTGCAAAGTTGAAGTAAAGTAAATTCAAGAAAAAAAAAGAATAATAAAATCAACAAAGTTGTTGTGGAGAAAATCTAATCCAAATAAACAGTATTATTTGTAAAACGACTGGGGATCACATGATGTCCGGTAACTTTTGATAGGCCACTGTACATTAGGAAAAAAAATAAAATAAATTCAAATAGAGTAAATCAGCTCCAAGCAAGCTGCAATGAGCAAATTATATTATGAAAAGAGATCAAATTGCCTTAGAGAATCTTCAGGTAAGTTTTTGCACAGATTTTTTATTACCAAATGTCATGAAATGGCTTGGGATGTCTTTTTTAGTTTCTTGCGTATATGCATTTTTTTCTTGATAGTTATGAGCTTATGGTCTCTCAGACAGTGGTAAATTTTTGTTTATCTTGTTCCTTTTGTACTTGACAAGAGACCATTATACTCTAACCAGGTTACGCCACATTTTTATTGCAACTTGCTTGACACTCATAACTTCATAAAAATCTTTATTTTTATCCTTGTCAAAGATGGCCTACTGGTACGACCGGTATTATATTTACACCTAAAAAATTTCACCTAGTGTATGTTTAACAAAAAATGGGAAAACGCGACGCATATATTGTTACACATGCAAATCGGGCGTTACTTTTTGTGACGACTGTACATGTACATGTTGTTTTTTCATATTTACTCACTCTTACATGTACAATGTAACAATACATTAGGAGGGATAAATAATTAATATAAAAAATGATGAATTATGTTCCTCTTCTTCCAAATAAATAAGTTTTCTATTTCACCTGATAATTACAATAATATTGTTTGGTAATATTATTTTTCTTCTATGACAGAATAATATCTAAGATAGGGTGCAATTTTCACTTTTATTCACTGACAGATTATTCTATTAATAGCTTAATGAAATTAAAGTAGAAGAATAAATAATACAAAAAAGTCTGTGATGCAAACAAAAGGGAAATGTATTGTTTCACTTTTTTTGTTCTTTACAAATATGCTTACGAATTAATATACTATATAAATTAAGCAACTTTATTTAAGTTTGACAACTAAATATTTGAAATAAATCATTCATGAAGTTAAATAAATTTTCTTACGAATATTCATAAATATCAGGGATAATTTTTAAATTTAGAATTGTACGCATACTCATATGAACTGATATATCCATTTATAATTTCGTCATTTGGGAGCCAATAAAAGTTTAACAGATGATAATTGAATTGATGATTTCACACAAACTCCTCGAACTTGTTTTTAAGGTTATAATGCAACAGATAAGATAAATATTTATGCTTTGAAATTTGTAATCCCTAAATATCTGACTATGAGCAGTAAATATAGCAACAATATAGCAACAATAAAATTCCTTTCTATAGACCCAATATTGTTTTGTTGTTCATCTTTTATAGCTTGTACATATCAATTATGTTTATTCTCGCACTATTAATAACTCTGTGTTAGGTAAATATATTTTAATTATCGATTTTTGCTTGAATTATGTGTATTGATTGTAAAAGGGGAATAAAATTACTTCTTTTTTAGTTGCATGTTATAATTATATAGTTTGATGAATTTTTTTTAATAGGTGTTTTCAAAAATTTACAAAAAACAATGGTTAAACAAAAGAATGCTGAGTAATTAAATCAATTTGTTTACATACTCAAAAGAAATGCTAAGGTGAGAATTCGTTAATTATTCGAAAGTAAATTTTGTACGTATTCTGTATACTGTAAAGAAAAACAAACATGTACGTAATGCAAAAATGTTAACAGGAAGCATTCTCCGTATTTAGGCAATAAAGCACAAAAATGTTTACATCATCAAGTTAATCCGCTATCATAGCTTGACATTAAAAAAACTGGAATCGAGAAAGGAATGACCAAACAAAAATAGGTCATTTGATAGTTAAACTCAGGGGACTTGCAACATCGTTTCATTGATCTTACAAGATAAATCAAAACCATATTTTTCCCATTGTTCTATCATAAATCGCGTTTCATTAAATTTTTTGACGTTCGTTTCTCGGAATTATTTTTAACTATAACCAAAAATATTCGATAGGTTACACACATTATTTCATATGTGTAATAATGCTTTTCGTTGACTTTTTTATTAGAAGAAGACATTACGATGTCAATTTTTATTAAAACAAGAAAAGCTTCAGATGCATATAATTAATGAACTTTATTATTTTTTTAGATACATATTGATTTATGTTATGAATTTATTTTTTCGTGTCAAGCTGTCCATGTATTAATGCTACAATTCTTAATAATATAAAATAAAAAGTTCCTATTGCTATCGCATGTAATTTAAATTTGAAATTTGTGACATATTAGATTTATTAGATTTATTAGATTTAAAGGAGAAACTTCCAATATCTGGCGTTCGAAAGACTCTCAAAAACAGGTTATCTAATTGTTAAAATGTCACCGAGATAAATTAATGATAAGTGTTATATGCAGAATGGCATTGTGCTGATTTTCACAAATATACAAATGTAATAGATCAAATCAGCCACATTTCCTTATAATTTGTAGTAAATACAGTAATATATTGCTGAATAAGGTTTACGAAAATTCTATATACTTGGTTTTTTATATATCAGTTTAACATTAATTTTGTTCATGTTCATTAATCCTCGTCGATATATCTTTAAATATGTTTTATCCAAAAGCTTGGCAATGTAAAAAGAGAAAATGTCATGCACATGCATTTCTTTCGCCTAAAAGTACTAAATTTTGAAAAAAAACATCAGATTCAAGTTGTACACGATAATATAAATGGTATAACAATAGTTATATATGGGGCAATTGTAAATGTCGATCTTGATAGATTTGTTACTTTTAATCTATATTTAGATTAATGCTAACTCGAATCGACTAGACAGATACTTTGGGGGAAAAAGTTTTGTTTTATAAAGTTTAATACTATTTAGAATTAAAAAATAAATATATTCCTTGTCATTGTTGTTTAATTAACATTATACATTTTAATTACATTAACAAGTACTTTTATAATGACGAAGCTATTACATTTTTGCATGATTATCAAAAAAAAGATAATCTACTTTGGGACTACCGGACACGATCAAGTTCTTTTTATTTTTAGCATTGGATCAATTTTACGAGACACGTCGGTAATTATTGCACTTAAACATGTATATGCTTTAGTTACCCGAACATATTATTTGATTAGAATTATCAATAATATGTTTTTTACTTTATCATTATAATAACAATTTTACGCATTTAGCCTCATACGCATATACTGTTGTCATTTTGCCGAAAATAACTGATTACTGATGCCAACATAAAATTTTTGGGCTACTGAAGCTACTGTATAGTGAAGTAAATTTTTTCTACATTTAATTTAATTATAATAAATTTTTTAACTGATGTGCAACAAAAAAAGATATTTAAAGACTCAGGACTTGGACTTGGGCTTGAGCTGTCGAAATATAAAACAAAAATATCAATAAATGTTTAAGCCATCTTACCCACCTTATCTTCAAACGGCATATTTTTTGAAAATGAAAAGAGACGGCACACGTCAAAAGAGAGCGCCGAATGCTTTTCTTGTATTTCGAGCGTGCGTCGTGGCAGAACTAAAAGGGTTAAACTTTCAACTAGGGGGGGCTGCTGAATTTTCTCATTTTGCCAGCTATCTTTGGAGATTGCTGCCTGAACATGAAAAAAAAGCCTACTTTTTAATTTCGTCCGAATTAAAAGAGGCCTATTCTTCTAGGCTTCCTAAACGTCAATTTGGAAGGCAACCACATAGACAAAACGAACTAAACCATCGTCGGGATGTTCGTAGTAAGCAGCAACGACAAAATTATCAGTATAGCGGCATTCTCGGGGAACAAAATAAAGCCGACCAAATTTCAGATCAATTTAGGAACAATCTCGGAGAGCGACGACGGACCGAATCCGACCAAATGTTTATTCACAAATTTGGAGCTATTCTCAGAGAGCAGCAACAAAACGAATCCGTTCAAATTTCCAACCATCAGTTTGGAGACACGCTCGGGATGCCATCTCAACAAAATGAGTTCTTCCAAATCTTCAATCCTCAGTTTAGTGACTTTCTCAAAGCGCAACAACAAAACAGATCCGACCAAATTTCCAATCCTCAATTTGGTGACATTCTCGAGGAGCAACATCAGCAAAATGAATTATACCAAATACTTCATCAGCAATTTGACGACTTTCTCGTAGCGCAACAACAAAACGGATCCGGTCAAATTTCCAATCTTCAGTTTGGAGACATTCCCGGGGTGCAACATCAGCAGTACCAAATTCCTCAATTTGAAGATTTGCTCGAGGAATAATGCCAGATAATTTTTTTTAAATTCAAGCATTATTAACAATTAACTATGCATACAATACTTATACATATGTAATTTTAGTATACTTAATTAAAATTGTAACTACAAAAAACCGTAAATACCAAACCACCAAAAAAATACTCAAAAACTGTAATTATATTTTATTATTAATCTTATTTAGCTAATATTGTTTGAATATAAAATAAAATGAAAAAGTTTGATTGAATACATGTACATGTATATGAAATGCATTACCGTTTTGAGGACATGTATTAACTCTATAAAGTCACACCTCTCTATAATCATCCAATTTTGCTTTCCAAGTGCAGTGACTATAGAGAGGTTTGAATATATCTGCAAAATGATATTAACATACTTATTTTGGGATTTGATCAATAATTTGTATTATTTCGGTTCTTGATCCCTTATTTGTTTAATTGACCTTTTTTGAATACGAATACATCGTTGTCACAAACCAATAAGGCTTATCTGATCAGCCACGCAAATTTTTGTTCGGCATCTATCTAGTCATGTACAAAAAAGGACATACATGTACATGTATATGGTGCATGTCATATGTCATCAAGCATTTATATTCTATAAATTGAACAAACTTCTTGATTAAGAAATTCAAAATGTAATCCATTAAAATAATAGAATAGACCTTTTTTAATTATTCTAATGGATTAAATTCTTGAATTTATTTCTTAGTCAAGAAATTTATCAATTTATATAAATGCTTGATGATTTTAGATGATATCATCATACATATACATGTATCTGGACAAGATCATCTATCAATGATCGATCATGATTTATAGTTATGGCGCAACAAATTTTATAAATTTTATAATTACAGTCATATCTCTCTAAATGCACACTCTTGGAACCAGTCTCATTATGTATACTTAGTGGAATATACATTTAGAAAGCTAGTACATGTATATATATAAAAAATAACAAAGATTACAAATTACATATAATTCAACTATGAAATAAAAATGTTTATATATAGTATCATAGTTATTAAGCACATAACAGATTTTTATCTGTAATTGAAGTTTGAGAAAATAATTAGACTAATTGAAATATTTATTTTAGAGAAGATTCTTCATATTGTAATAAGAAAATTAAATATGTAGAAAAGAATAAAATAAAAATATATAGTAAGAAAAATAATAAATTTTTTATGATATATAAATTTTTAAAGTATTATTCTTGATAAAAATTTTTGTAATTCTGCTCAAATTTATTAATTTTATGCACTTAGAGATTTAGTAAGACTATAAAAATTCTCTTATATATTTGTGTACATATATTTAAAGAGTATATGATAAGCTATTAAGCTTTATTATGGAACCAGCTCAATAATATAAATTCAGAAAGATATGTATTTAGAAGAAATATATTTAGAAAAATGTAAATATATTTTTTATTAAAATTTTCAAACTCTAAGTTGAAAATTTAAATATTAACTCAAGTAAAATAAGAATAATATCTCAATATCTAGTAATCAAATTCACATAAAAATATTAATATTTGACTTATTTTATAAAGAATCAAATAATAATATTTTATATAATTTTAATTATTAGATATAAGATATTGCATTATATTATTATATTTCTTTATATTATATTTTTTTATCTTAATATTTATAAAAATAATATTATTATAATTCTAACAAAAAGTAATAATAAATTAATTATTAAACTATTATTAAAAATTACAAAAAATCTTTCTTTTATTATAAATATAAATTAATTAATTTAAATAATATTACTATATATATATTATTATATTTTCTAAGATAATTTTTGAAATACTAATTTGTGTATTGTTATGGTAAATTGGTAAGTGAAGTTTTACTTTAATTCATCTTAATGATATAGGATTGGGAGAGACTGAAATAATTAAAGAATAAAGAGAGGGAAATTAGACTATACTTTCAATAATGACAAAGATTTCTAAGATCTGTGCCAATATCTACAGATATTATCTTAACGATGGATAATTAAATAAAGAAATAAATAAATAAATCAAAGAAATTATAAAGATTAACTGAGTGAAGTTACTAGTAATTGAT